TTCAAGGATCATCTCTAAAAAAAAAATTTATCAAAAAATATTATTATTAATTTTTAAAAAATTCACTTTAAGATTTATTTTAGGGTGCAATCAAAGTTTCATATTATTCAAACAAGAGGAGAAACACGAGTTTATATATATAAAGTCTTCATTGATAAAAGACTTTTTGGATGATGATAAAAAATAAAATCATGAGGACTTAAGTTCAAAATGAACAATATCATACCAATATAAAAATAAGTAACAATATGTAGGGTTGTCATAATAAAATGAGTATATATATAGAAAGGGAAAATATAATGAAATATAGAATTTATTATTTTAGGCACTATATAATGAACAATAATGAGGACTTTTTTTGAATTATTTTAAGCGCTATAACCTGTAGCGATTTCATACAAAAAAAAAGTCGCTATGTGTCGCTACAGTCGATAACGACTTTAGTTGGGTCACTATTGATTTTAACGACTTTTGCTACATGACTCTTATTGTTTTTTTAAAAAAAAATTGACACGTGGCACTAAAGTCGTTATGACTCATAACGACTTTACAGTAAACGATCTTAAAAGTATAAATAGTTTCAAAATAATCATATTTACATAATTAATTTTAAAAATAACTCCACAACGATAAATCAACCAAATATAGAACTACTTACATGAATTAAAAAAAATACAGCTCATATTGATCTTCGACTGAGAAAGAGAATTAGATTCTCTAATATGAAATATATATGTTGCCGTTTCTAAGAAGCCCGATGATCAATTTTTTGCATATTAAGTGATCAATCATATGTTTGAATCCAATATGAGGATTTTTATTCATTCATCATTTGATTTAATCATTATAATAAATATTACATACAATGATATATACAAAATATTTCTATATATATTATTGAATCTCATTCAAAATTAATACTAAAATTTTCTATAATTATATGTCAAATAGATTTATATATACATATATTATATTTATAATAATATTTTTATATATTATTATATAAATGTATATTTATAATGATATGTATTGTGTCACTATTAAATGCGCGTTACAAATTTATTGTATTACAATTTTTTTGATAATGAATCTAAATGCCATATAATTCATATATTTTTTATTAATAAAATTAAACTCAATACTAAGAAGGTACAATAACTCAAATACGCAACTAAATTCCTTAAACTAAATCCCTTAATATACAATCCATATAATTTTATATATTCAAGTGTGTTTCGAAAAACAGTGAAAATTATTAGGTTGTTTCAACATTCAATTATATGAATAATTAATTATCGTTATAATAGATTGTAATCAAAATAAAATTTCATTTGGATAAGTTTGTTAAAACTTGATTTTAAGATGTCTAATTTTATTTGAATATAAAAAAAAAACAGTTTTTATACAAAATCATCTTAAAAAGATAAAAATTGTTAAATATTCATATGTTTTAAATTTGCAACTTCATAAAAATAGCTTATTTTTTCAAGAAATCTATTTACAAACTTGGTTTGTTGTCTCAATAAATAAATTTTTTCTCTCCAAAAACAATTGATATGGGAGATTTTAATTTCTCACAAACACACACTTTGTATATTATTCATTTATTTTGTTGGGAGACATATATGAGACACGAACAAATGATTTAATGTTTAGCTGTGTTAGCTAGGGGGTGATTAGGTTTACTATAGCCATTTTAAAAGATATAATATAAAATTATATATATTTACTTAACACTTTAAAATTTTAAAATTGTTGGTTCTGTGATATTGAAAAAGATATTAGACTTTAATTTTTGCCGTTTCTGTTTTATTGATAAAAGTAAAATTTCAACAGAAGTGAACCTATATAGATAGCTTGCATTATGCACACTTTAAATTTAAAGGACTAATTGCTTAATGATGCTTAATCTCTATTTTTTTTTCTAGAATTAACTGTTTAATTTTTTGAAAATGCTATAGTTGGACGACATATTTATATATATATATATATATAAGTAGAAAATATGTGTGATTTGGAACCGAATCTTGTTTTGAAGAAGAAAAAGAGGGTGGCCAGAAAGGGAATGATGCCAACGTTTTGACACAAAATGGCAGTTTTGTCTTGAACTGAGATGGAGACAAGAGAAGAGAATAGGAGTATAGGAAAGTGGTTGTGGAGTAGATAGAGGTCACAGGCACAGTTGCAAATTGGTTTACGTGTAGTTTCATAACAACAGTGTTTGCTCTCATGTTTGATGCCTCGATTTGACTCAGCGATTTGGATATATCAAGGATACTTCTCTGCCAATTGAAATTCCTCACACACTCTTTTTATGTTATGTCACACCTAAAACCATCTATTTTCACCTGCATCAACCATCATTTATACATGTTATCATGATCACAAAATGCAATCATCACCGCCAAGACCTCTTATCACCCTCATCATGTCAATGGTATTATAATTTCTCAATTTCTTTCTAAGCAAAACAATGGTTTCGAGTATATCAGAAAACAAACAATTTTTAGGCAAATAATTGGATGTTCAAAACAACAATATAAAATTAATAAGTATTAATTTTAAAATGTGAGATAATCCTCAATTAAAGGAAAAATCTCACTCCCTAGTCCAATAAAAAATTTCACTATTGATGATTAATGGATTCACCATACCTCTTCTAAAACCATTAGGAATCAATAGAAAATACACTTCACTACAATAAGGTCATGACAATATAATAAATCTTCAAATAGATATTTTGAGAGACAAAAATACGTTTTCTTTTTAATTATAATATAAGTACGAAATAGTGATTAATTTATCTTTGAGATTTTAAATGTATATAAAATAAATGTGCTTTTCATGATATAATTTATTTCATACTTATAATTAAAAAATATAAGTCATTCCTACTTATACCGATTAACTGGTAGCTACATCAATACTTTGAAATGGAGCAACTTGAATCATCTATATACCACTAATATGTTCCACACACGATTTTCTCTAATTTGCTCTCAATGACATTTTGTTTCTCACCGAAGAGACCAACGCATATAAGAAAGATCATTTGTTTTCTTTCCCTAAGCAGGATTTTT